ATTTAGATATTAAAGAACTGATACTGGGTATGAAAAAAGAGATGAATGAAAATATGAAAGTGTTAGATGTAAAATTAGATTTAATGGGAAATAAGATAGAGCAGAACTCAAAAATAGTTCTGGACCTCTCTGTACAGATTGAAAAATTCTCTGACAAAAGTAAGGAATTAGACACAGATAGGCAAGAATTAAAAATGAAATCCAATAAGTCGGACAAAGCATTGAAAAAGAACCAGAATGAGTGCAAAGAGATGAAGAAAAGCCAAAAGAAAATGAAGGAAGATCTTGTGGAATTAAAAAAAGATGCAAGAAACAATGCAGTTGTGGCACAGGAGATGCAACAGAGAGAACAGATGCTGAGATTTTGAGGAATAAGAGAGAGACAAGAAGAGAGTATCGAGGAACTGATAATAAAGGAGCTGGCAAAATGGCTAGAAATCCAAGAAGAATATTTCTCTATTTGTATGGACAAAGTGTTCAGGGTCAAATCAAGGTTTGTGAGGTCCAATAAATGGCCAGGAGATTGTCTTGTGTTCTTGAATTCAAGAATTCTAAAAGATAAAATCCTACAAACTAACAGGAAAAGGGGGCTGAGAATTGATGATAAAGATATTATAATACTAGAAATTCCTGCAAGATTGCTAAAGAATAGGGTAAAATATGAATACTTAGCTGAGGCATTGAAAAAGAATGACACCCCCTTCAGATGGGAATTCCAGAAGATATTTCCTTTACCTTTAAGCAAAGTAGAAAAAGATTTACAACAGAAAGTGAGGTAGAGAAATTTTGGAAGAAGTATTGTAAGACATTAGGAGGGCGGAATTGTGGGGGAAAGGGGAACCTAGAGAGGTAGGGATAAAGTGGGATGTCAAATCCAAACTCCTCTTCTTTATCGCCATCTACTTTGAAAAAATAAATGGGATATAATATAATATAAAAGAGTGTTGATTAATAAAAAAACTAGTTGGTGAATTTATTTCCTCAGATGTTGTTAAGAAAAGAGGGGTAGTTATATATGCAAACTCAAGATTCAACCTAGAGCCTTTATTTAAGGATGAAGAAGGGAGAATGATGGCAATAAAAGTGGCATATCAAAAAGAAAAAATAATTATCATTGGAATCTATGCACCAAATGATAAGAAGGCGGAATTTTACAAAAAACTGGAGGATAAACTGCTGGACTATTGTGACAAAAAGATCACATTATTAGGAGATTTAAACTGTGTTACCTCACTCGATATGGATAGCACAATGCGAGAGAGAGAAAGTATAGAAGAGAGATTACCGTTAACCTTCTTCCAACTGGTAGAAAACTTCAATCTTCAAGATGCATGGAGAGTTAAACACCCAAATGAGAAACAATTCACACACTGTTTAGAATTAAAAAAAAACTCTGTGGGGAGAACTGATAAAATTTGGGTCTCAAAAAACTTATTACTAAAGATAAAAAAGCAGAAATTCAATCAAAAACACTATCAGATCACAATCCAACTATGCTGGAAATAAGAGAAGGAAGAAAAACAAGAAGAAGATGGAAAATTAATGAAAACATCCTAAACAATGAGAATATATTAGGAAAAGTGAGGGTGATTTCAATAGAATACTTTGATAACAACTTAAACCGGGGAACTGATATAAATACCGTATGGGATGCAAGCAAAGCGGTGATTCAAGGCTTCTACATCCAACAAAATATAACCCAAAGAAGAGAGAGAGAAAGGAATACAGTGGTACCTCTGGTTACGAACTTAATTTGTTCCGGGGGTCCATTCTTAAGCTGAAACCTTTCTATTGAAATCGCCCTCACTTTTCCTAATATATTCTCACTCCCCAGTAACCATGATGGAGGTGCAACAATCAATTTCCAAAGCAAAGACAAGAAAGTCACCAGGTACAGACGGTTTATCTGCAGTGTATTACAAAAAATTAGAAGACATATTGTCAGATCCGATGAAAAAAAGTCATGAATGGAATTTTGAAAAAGGGGGAAAGACCAAAATCATGGGAAGAAGCTTTTATCACTCTGATACACAAGAGTGATACACAAAAGAGTGGCAAGAGAGATTATTTGATTACCTTAAGTTGGCAAAACTGACGGATGCAATTAGGGAACAGTCTAAACAAAAATTTCAAAAAGAGCAGGGAAAGTACAGAGATTTTTTTAAAAAAACCAAAATCAGTGCCCTCAAATTAAAACCTGGACTTGCTTGGAATAATTTTTGCAAAACAAAATATGGTTTACAAATACAACATATGGAGAAGGGTAGAAAAGACGAAATGAGAAAGAAACAGTTTATCGAGTTTAAAATCAGACCTGCATTGAGGAGGAATGAAATCTACTAGAATTAGAATAAGAATTAAAGATTGGCTAACATAAGTCCGCATGCAGATACTTGCAGATATATGGGTATACAGTGGTACCTTGGGTTACATACGCTTCAGGTTGCATACGCTTCAGGTTACAGACTCTGCTAACCCAGAAATAGTACCTCGAGTTAAGAACTTTGCTTCAGGATGAGAACAGCAATCGTGCTCCGGTGGCGCGGCAGCAGCAGGAGGCCCCATTAGCTAAAGTGGTGCTTCAGGTTAAGAACAGTTTCAGGTTAAGAATGGACCTCCGGAACGAATTAAGAATGTAACCAGAGGTACCACTATATGTTTTTCATTTATTTTGTGTTTTCTTTTGTAGTTTTGTAGTTTGTTTTCCACATGCCGTGTGTGTATGTGCTGTAATAATAAGTTAATAAAAAGCATTTACAAAAAAACAAAAAAGCTACATGAGAATCCGTATGAAATTTCATGTACATTTCTCTGAACACACACATTTTTGTCCAACAGATGCATTTTTGCAATCCATTTCCCCCAATATTATTCACTTTTGCACACCAGTGGCACTAGTATACATTTTGTGCATTCTTTCTCCTGAACTTCACATTTTTGGTTGTCAAACTGCATAAGAAAATTCAAAAAAGTAAGAATTTTGAACAGCAGTTCCAGTTTCTCTGGACAACCTGTTTATTCGGCTTTCATCCAGAACTGCTTGCATGAAGTTTGCATGGTGGGTAGGCTTTGTCTGGTTGTTCTTGAGAATTCATTGTCATTTGTTTGTAAGGAACTTATACATCCTGATTTGCTTGCAGGTATTTATCTGGGTTCCTGATCATCATTCATTCATCCCACACTTTTCAATGCATTTACTCATCACTTTCAAAACCAAAGTGGATTTGCTGTGCTAGGTTGAAAGAGCACACTTAGGACTCTTCCAGACTTCCACACAGGTCTCGGCTTTAAAACTCCTTGTCCAAGCATTGTTGCTTTTTATCCTGGTGCTTTCCCTGGGAAAGCCCATGTTTTACCACTGAATCAGAGCAAATGGCAACCAGGTTTTCCATAGATTGCTGTTTCCACCAATTTAGTGAGAAAATGAGGGTTTTCCTAGGGAAATCACAGGGATAAAAAATTGCTTGGACATAGTGCTTCAGTCTGGCTTGGAGGTCTACAGCAGACACACACACCCCCGTAAGCACACCATTTTGATTATTTATTTGATTTGATTTATTAGATTTCTATGCCATTTTCCATTCAAGTGAATCCCTAAATGGCTTACAAAGAATAAATAATAACAACATGATATAACATAATTTTTACCCATACACTCTCTATCTGCCTTCCATGCTGCAGGTATTGGATTTCTTCACAAGCGTACACATCCCTTACATATAATGCTGCTGCTTCTCCCTTCCTGTTTGGTTGATTCCTTTTGAACAGATTATACCCCTCAATTCCTACATTTCAGTCACGAGTCTCATCCCACCAGGTTTCAGCAATGCCTCCAGGTCATATTTGCCATCCTGTAATAAGAGCTCAAATGCTTGTTTCCCATACTATGTGCATTTGTGTAGAGACAACTGAAACCATGAGTTGTTCCCTCCAGCTGCCTCCTTCTTGCAGTTTCCTGCCCTTTAGCGGGTTTCAGCAGCACCACCTCACTTTCCTGTGCATCAAAGAAGCTATTATTCCCGGTACCAGGTATTCCCCTTTTATCTGTAATACTGTCTCTCTCCTCCTCAGGATTTAGTTTAACACTCTCCTGATCAGGTTCACAAGAATCTTAGCAAACACATTCTTGCCAACCATTGTGAGATACAACCTATATCTTGCCAGAAGTTGTTCCTCATGGAATTGGGACCATGGTCCAAGAAGCCAAATCTTTTCTGACAACATCACCTGGAAGCATGGATAAAGCCAGGAGGCAGCTGCCCCCCCCATCAAGTAAATAAATAAAAATACTGAACTAACTGCTGTCCTTGTTCCTCAGCAAGGTATCTGAGGTGAAATCAGTTTTGAAACTACAGTGACGCAGCATGGCTCCTGACAGTCCCGCTTCTGCGTGTCACATTCTTCCAGGGATTTGTCTCCTGCATGGAGTGAACGCCCTCCTCCCTAGAGGCATCTCCCCTGCATCTCTGTCCCAAAAGAGTCCACTCTGGTATCATCTTGCCCAGTAGCTCGAAGTGTGGGTAGGCAGACCTCAGGTTGCTGTACTTTCTCTTTCAGCAAGGCAACCAGCTTGCACTTGCTGCAGGTATAGTTTTGCACTTTCGACAGCAGAAATAGAAACATGGCACAGGTGTGGTAGGTCACTGCAACAGCTCCCTCACCATCCATGTTTCTTGGCCCTGTACACACAGTGAGGCCTCCTTCTCAAAACGCCCTTGCGAATGCCCTTCTTACAAGTCCTGTTTGTGAGCTCCCAGAAGCTGTATTCAGCTCAGTAGAACATAAAGAGATGGTACTTATTACTTGAAGATTTGTGCTTAAAGTGTCTTTGATCATGGATTTGAGACTGATTTTATTGTATATTTTTTGTACTCTGTTGCATATTCTATGTCATCAGCTATCCTGTGTTCCTATCTTGGAGTAAGGGCAGGGTATGAAAACTATGTACAACAACAACAACAACAACAACAATTCCCACCTTTTGCACCATGTAAGCCTACCTGTTATATAGAAGGATATCCGGCTTCCATATCTGGCCATCAGGAAAACGGACGTTCTTCACTCCAGGATATTCTGACATATTCCACTGTAAATAGTAGTCTGTCCAGTACTGGAAAATTAAGAATAATAAGCAAACACACACAGGTTAATTTAATTTTCTACTAGCAGTAGCTTGTTCCTTCCAGAGTATGGCAGAGTTAGGACTCAGATGAATGTCTTGCCTGGAACTCTCAAGAAGTGGCATTTTACTTGCAAAAAAGCCCCAGATTCTACAAATTGTGCATTTAGCAACTGAGGCGGGGGTAGAGGGTTGGGAGAACAACTGAAGGCATTAAAATTTCATTTTTAGGTCACCCAGTTGCACACAGCAGCCTGTAAAAGAAATGCCACTCTGTTTGTGACTTACAGTTTGTGCCATCTCAAGCATGAAATTGGAATATATATATTAAAGGTCCCACAGAGCAAATAGGAAGCTGCCACAGATGGTTCATCTAGCTTCTCTCCTGCAGCCTTCCCCAACAAGTGTCATCAAGGTGTTGCTCAGTTACAGTTCCTATCAGCCCCAGTACGACTACTGGTAAGGGATAATGGGAACTGTAGCACGCAGGAAGTGGCTGGCACACCAGCCCCCCACTCATGATGTCAGCCTGATGGTCAGCTGTAGAGAGATGAACCAAACAAACCAGGAGAGGCTAGGCAGGTTGGCCCTGCCAGAGAAGAAGCAATGCTCAGCCAGCTGGAGGATGAAGGTGTGGTGCGTGGCACATTAATAGAAGGACTCAAGCTGGGCGGAGGAGAACAGATGGAGGTGGAGTGGTAGAATAAGGAAAGAGGAAAGAGCTAGGCTGTTTAGCAAGCTTTGCCACAGTGACTTAGGACACAGCAGGAGAGAAAGGAAAAGCCAGCAGTTCTGGAGCTAGCTAGCCCAGTGGTGAGTCAAAGAAGAACATAAGAAGAGCCTTCTAGATCAGACCAAAGGCCATCTAGTCCAGCATCCTGTTCTTACAGCGGCTGACCAAATGCCCCAGTAGGAAACCCACAGGCAGGATTCAAGTACAAGAGCAGTCTCCCTTCCTGTGGCTTCCAGAACCGGCATTTAGAAGCATTGCTGCCTCCCACTGTGGAAGCAGAGCAGAGCCATCCTGGCTAGTAGCCATCACTAGCCCTCTCCTCTTTGTCTAATCCTCTTTTAAAGTCATCTAGGTTGGTGGACATCACTACTTCCTGTTTAACCATGTTTAACCATGTTAGCTGAAGAAAGCAAGTGGCTTCTTACACACCTGATAGAGGACTTAAGGGGGAAGCAAGAGTGTTTAGCTAAGCAGATCTCAGAAGGGCATCTGAGTGAAGAGCTCACGTGTTGTTTTCTGAAGGAAAGTTAAGTCCTGGGGCTCTGAAGACCCTTGAGATCCCTAGTGGGAGAGTGGAAGCTCTTAAATAGTCTGACTTCATTCAGAGAGCATCAGGTGGAGAAGACTGGTCTACTCTCACCAGCAGTGAATCTCCAACATTTCATACAAGGGTCATTTCCCAGCCTTGTCTGGACCTTTTACACATCAGGCCCTCCCATTGTGGCATGTGATGTCACACATGTGTGAGATGTCACGTGTGTACGCTGGGCACCCACAATGATGGGTGGAACCTGGTGAGCCTAACCTGGGTTGCTGTGCTCATTAAGCCTGACACTCCTGTGCAGATCCTGTTCTGCTAATAAAGAGTTAACTCCAGCTTGCTTGGTTATTTACTGCTGGCTCACCCTTGTCGCTATAGGAATGTTAAGGATTGTAGGAAAGGATATATTGAATAAATATTACCCTTCCTTCACTCACACTAGTGAGTGATGTAGCAAAGCAAATTCCCCTTAATTTAGCTGGAAGCTAGTTTGCAGATTTGTTTGAATCTCTTAGTTAAGATTATTTCCTGGTGTCCCCTTTGATCCCTCTTAAAAGAATAAAGACACAAGAGTCTTCCTGAGTAAAATAACAAAAAGTTTACTCACATTTCGATTCACGATTTGATCCCTGAAAGGCAGGTTTTTCTTAGGCAAGCAAGAGGCCACCTTCCAGCCAGGCAAGAGGGCTTGAGCAGAGCCTGGTGTGGGGCTCATGAGGGGCGGGGCTTGGAGAGAATCCTGTGGGCCAGAAGAGGAGCCTGGCAGGCCACATTCCCGCCCTAAACATTTGCAAGGCTCCTCCTCCTTTGCATTGTGTTTGTCTTGACTGCAGCCTTGTGAGCTACCAACCTCAAACAACGGGGGACAAAGAAACATGGTGGGCTGAAGATCCTGTACTGATTTGCACTACCCAGCCAGCTTCTGCGCAAGGTTAAGTGGAGATCACCTAAGGCAGGTTCCTATAATTTCACACCAGTGCTCCAATCATTGGTTTTAGCTTCAGAAAGTCACACATTTCCCCCAGATGATTGTCTTGCTCCATGCAATGCATGAAAGCCTCATTCCAGGGAAATTTGACCTCTTGTTTAGCTCCAATCTGCACTATGTTTTTTCCTTTCGTTTGTATTGGGCAGTTCTTTTGCAACTCAGTATGCTGTTTACAACCCTGTCAAAGCAGCAAATGACCAAAGCGGTGCTCCTGTGTGCCCTCCAGCTCTACAGATGTCAACTGCTGGAGGTCGTCTCCAGTCAGGATGCCCAGTGATTAGCTCTTGTCTCTCCCAGTGCTTGTGACACTGATAAATCTGTCCTTGATTAAACTGCCTGGGTTCTTCTGGGACCAGTTTTTAAAGCTGATGAAAAGTTTTCTTACTTTTATAAATAAATTGTGCCTTTTCCACATCTTCTTTTAAAATGCAATGGCAGCAAAAGACAAACTTCTTTTTTTGTCTCATCAGTATCAATCAGCCAATATGTTTAACTATGCAACACATGGTTAAACCATGGAACTCACTGCCGTGGGAGGCAGTAATGGCTACCGAGCTAGATGGCTTTGTAACAAAAATAAATATATGAATAAAGGACTTAACCATGTGAGGCTGACATAAAAACCCTGCACAAGCACTATGCAACAGAACGAAAGATCATTATTCCCCCTCCTCTCACTTTCCCCCCAAATACCGTACAGTATATAACAGTGTCTCATACTGAATGCAAATGAACTGTGAAAAAGACTATGAATTGAAAGTGGAAACACTATAGGTACCCCTTTTTGTTTATTTGTTACAGAGGAAAATCTTTAATAAAAACTATAAAAAGAGGATTAAAGAAATTCATGGAGGAGATGGCTGTCAAAGGCTCCTCTCCAGGATGGCTCTGCTCTGCCTCCACAGTGGAGGCAGAAATGCTTCTGAGAGCCAGTTGCTGGAAAACAAGGGGACAGAGAGCCCTTGTCTTCACATCATGCTTTCCCCATTTTCTTCCTAATGTAACACTAATGTCTCAACAAATGAAACTGATATGTAGAAAATGTAACTTGACATTGCACATACTTTTGTAAACCAAGAAATCTTTAATAAAAAAATGTTTTTAAAAAATCCAGCTTGTATACTCATATTTCAAATAATCTAATTCAAAGTAGTGCAAAAGCCTTGTCTTCATTATTCAATAAATGCTTCCTAGTTTGTTTCAAAAATATCTTGCCACTGTCTTTTTCTGGTTTATTTTTATAAAATGTGTTAATGTTGTCATTGACACAAATTCCCAGTGTTTATCAATCCATTCTATTGATTGGTTGGTTTGTAATCTTCACTTGCTTGCATACAGTAACCTTGATGCTTTCAACATATAAGAGACAAGTTCCTTGTGTCCATTCCTTACAATGCAGTGTTGATAAAAGTGCTGTGAGTGCCAGCATAAAATGGATGCCATGGGCAGCAAAAACAGTACTTGGTACTGGGGAGGACTGTAAAAAGAAAGGGGAGGAACCTTGCATATATGTAGCTGGTCTCTTATTAAACTATCAACTTTTTCCCATTTTTAAAATATACTGGTGTTTCCACCACATATGAAAATAATTCCCATTTTTTGGCATTTCCAGTTGAATAGTTCTTTATCTTCCACAGTGTCCCCTGTTCTGCATCCTGTAACCCTCCCCTCAAATTGTTTAAAATGGAGTTGTGTAAATACACTTCATGTCAATTTATAGTAACACCGTTATGTCACTGTGTCCTGCTGCTCAAAGCACCGTGCAACTTCTGAAATACAGTCAGTTGTGAGCAAAGAGCTCTTTGATGTAACTGATGGTTGATACTGAAGGTGTTATGTACTGAGCTTGGATCCTAGAACAATAGGCAGGTAAGATCCTAGAAGGCAGCAACTTGATTGGTCTGCAGGAGCTGCCCAATCCGGGTCCAGGAGGAAGTCAATCAGCAACCTGACTGGGCTGCAGGAGCAGCCCAATCAGGCTCCAGGAGGGGAATTGAATCAGCCAATCATGCGGGACCCATTGTGTAAATAATGTATATATAGCCAGAGGTTTTGGGGGAAAACTCATTCACTCACTGATGACCATGAGCTGAAATAAAGAGCATGAAATTAACACTCAACTCCAAGTATATTTCAGAAGGAAATGAATGCAGTGAAAAAAGTGGAGGGATGGGAAAAGAGAGTAGAAATTTATGAAGTTAACTTCCAGATTCAGACAACTTCAGGAGTCCTTGTGAGCACTCCTCGCTTTTGATTAAGGGATGTTTGCTCATTTGATGTGTGTACTATCCATGTCAGTGGCAGACCTTGGGGTTTCAAATTTCAGTGGTGCTCTGTACAACACCAACATTTGGCACGCCCCCCCCCCCCGCCTCTCACCTTCCATTACACATCGTAGTTGTGGCACCACCAGAGGAAGGTGAAAGTCAATGCTGTCCATTTGGGACAACATCTGATAGCTGGCCTACCATAGTATTCGGGATTTCACAAGGGTGGACAGCTGACTTACTGACACACTCAGCATGTCTGACCATATTTGACAGCTGGCATGCAGTAGCAGTTAATGTCTGACACTCTCTGATCTTACAATGGAAAAGAATCAATATTTTATTAAATGAATTCATTCACTAAACCAATCACAAGGAGCAAATATTGGGCTTGTCATATTCTGTTAGCCTTTAAGGTCTTTTTGCTGTTTTTACTGTAGAACATCTGCTTTGCATGCAGAAGGTCCCAGGTTCAATCCCCAGCATCTCTATGTAGGACTGAGGAAACACTCCTGTCTGGAAAACTGGAGGGCTGCTGCAGGTCAGTGTGGATGATACTGAACTAGATGGACCATTGGTCTGGCTTGATATATAGCAGCCTTCTGGGTCTCTGCAGTTTCACTTTCCATGGTGCCCACATGTTTCTTTTAAAGGGAGGAGCTGTAGCTCCATGATAGAGCCTCTGCTTTGCATGCAGAAGGCCCCAGGTTTAATCCCCAGCATCTCTGGGAAGGGCTGGGGTGTCCCCTGCTTGAAGTCCCAGAGAGCAACTGCTAGCCAGTGTAGACAATCTGGAGCTAGATCTTGGCATATGAGAACTTCCTAAGTTACTGATAAAATCACCCTCTTAAAGGAAACTTCTAAACTTTAACACTCACCATGTGTAGCCAAATGTTGGTGGTTAAAACTTGGTTCTTTTCATCCTGCCAAAGGAAAGGAAAGGAACAAATCAATGTTGGTTGTTGTTCTTTTTATTTTTATTTTAAAAAGCTGTTATGAAGAGTTATTGAAATAGCTTTTCTCTGCTATGAATCTCAAATAGCTGCCTGCTCAAAACCAAAGGATCCTGCTTGAAAGGCATCTAGTTCCTTCATAATACCTTGCATCAAGCACTTTCAGAAATAGGTCACTGACTAATGTGAATTATCATTCTAGTTGATACAGTTGATACAGGGCATCAGGCTTATTTATTGCTTATGGGTTATCCTGTGTGACAGCTCAACCAGATCCTCTAGAGCAGGGATGGGTTCAGGCTTTTCAGATCAACTCTGGGGTTTTTTAATAGATCTACTGGAGGTGCAAAAAGCACACAGCTAGAATGAATGAACTGGGTTCCTTTGCACACATTCTGAACCTAAGTTATTGTCTGCCATGCCAGACCTTAACTGGGGCCACAGTCCTTGTGCACAGAAAGCCCATTCCTGGTTAGCATTCTTCATTTCAGCTGCTTAATTGCAGTGGCAAAAGTCATATCATTGTTAAACAATTTGGAAGTCCAGAAACACTCCTTGATCAACTGTAAAGCACCCAGAGATTCCACTCTGCCTCCTGCCCAACCCTTCTCTGGAGAAGTCATCAGCTGAACTTGGAGACCAGAAGCAGCCAGCAGGGTGCGCTCCGGCTGTTACTGGAGTACAGTTCCCATCATCCTTGACTGTTAGCCATGTTGGCTGAGGCTGCTGCAAGTTGGAGTCCAAAAACATCTGGAGAGTGCCATGTTGGCTACCCCTATCCTAGGCTGAGAGTTGCTTTCAGACATTGAACAAATTAGCTCCCCACCAGCTGAATCCACAAAGCCCAGGAGAAATTAGGGATGTTTACATGTGTTAAGTGAAGACGTGAGAGGGACTGGTGGGGCTCACCCATCCTGTACTCTAATGCTGCTGTGTCTACTGGCCACACACCCTTGCCACACACTTGACATTGCTAAGAAATAAGGATCACTTCCACATGTGTCCACTTATAATTCCATTCCACTACATTTCTGTATTAATAAGATTTATAAAAAACAACTGCACCATTTATTTAAATAGGTAAATTTCTAAATACATTTTCTCTTAAACTGCACATTTTTTTAAAAAAAAATGCAGTTTTCATTTTCTTTGTTTCTTCACTGCATCAGAAAAGCTGAATCAGTTCTACTCTAGTCCAGAAGGTGTGGAAAGAGTCAGTTCATAGCAGAATCAGAAGATCAAAATCCTCAATAACTCTTTATAAAAAGGGGGGGTGGTCTTAGACGGTGGGAGGGAGAGGCTGAAAGATATGTTGATGTATCTCATCCCATGAGATACAGAAAATCTCATAGGAAAACTTTTGGTTCAACTCCAGTCTCACCACCTGCCTCTCAGGACTAGCCCCAAACAGGTCATCCTCTGAGGCTTTTGCTGTCACCAGCCCTACATGTGGGGAGACCAAGTGAAGACAGAGGCCTGAGAAAAAGAAGAGCTGATCTAGACCCATCATAATTAAGACGGAGAAATCTATGTTACAGAGGAGTGATGGCAATAAGTGAATACCGACTGACCCATCCACAGCTGGGTCCAGCATCTGCCCATGCATACCTATGTATAGCTGGATCTCACCCACCCACCCCGCCCCGCTTAACAATGAATAAAAATACAGAGGTTCCATATGGGCAACAGACCAAGCAAATGAGCCTCTGGATTTGGGTTTGCAGGTCAATTTGGCGTCTGTGCCTCACAGCTCAGGTGTCCTCTTGGGTGGATATTTTGTCCACGAAGGTTAACAGCAGCTGTACCCACAGTCCATCTGTCACAAATAAGCACTGCCTTTCAGCCAAATGGTTATTTAAGAACCTTGGTGAAAATAGACTTTCTTTACCACCAGGACTCCCATTGATGCCTGTGGACAAAACAATCCATCACTCTTTATCTGTGTTCTGTTTCCTTGAAGGCTTTGTTCATAATGGCTTCCTAAAGGTGTGGCTTGTTACCACAGCGATTCACAACCATACCTCATCCATGTTAATGGCAACATTATTACTTTCCATGCATACAGAAATGTGTGTAATTCATCAGACAAGCAAATTGCTATTGAAGGGAGTAAGAAAATGGAATAAATGAAAACCCTGCTTTCCAAGGGGATGAATCCATTAAGCCTTGAACACCTGCCTGGTTAATGACATCCTCAGAAAAGCTCCACGTTGGCTGCCCAGATGCCAGTGCTAACTTTAAAGCAGAATGGGAGGGGGGTGAGCAGCCCTCCAGATGTTCTTGGACTCCAGAACATCAGACAATCTACCAATGGTTGGGGGGGGGGAGGAGTTGGCTGGCATCGATCTGTCTTGGGAGACAATGGAAGAGTGTGGCTTTGGGGGTGAAGTCAAACTATTGGAGAGTTACAGAACCTGCTGGGGCTGTAGAGACTGATACGGGAGAGATGTTTTCTGGCAGCTGGGGCAGGTGAAGGCATCCGGTTGTGCTGATGCAGTTGTGCTGTGGCATTTCTTCTTTCTGTGCTCCTCCCACTAGTCATTCCATCTCTGGTCACTGCTGTAGATACATGACCTGACTGAGGCACTGCGTCTTCTGCAAGGCATTCCCACGTGGCAGTGTTAATGTTGCCAGCTGTCATATCTCATTTGCAGACTTTTTTTATAATGCAGAGGTGGTCTGTCAATGGGCTTGGTGCCTAAAGCCAGCTCCCCATAGAGCATGTTCTTGGGGATCCTGCCATCTTCCATTCTGTGGACATGAGCAAGCCAGCATAGATGTCACTGAGACAGGAGTGTGAATGTGCTGGGGATGTGGGCTTAGGGGAGCACATCTTGGTTTGAGACTGTGTCAAGATCAGTTGAGAAGGCCCTCCTGGTCATTTCACCACCTACAAAAGTCTGTGGGTGGAGACTTCCGGGTTAGCGCCATCGTCTAATGGCGGATTCCCTCCGAGCTCCGGAGGGAATCGGCTCAGTAAGGGACGGGTCCTGCCGCCGCAGCGACGCGGGGACCCTTAGAAACCACAGGCGTGGAAGCCTGTGGACTTGGTGACTCGGCGGGCACCATTTGCGCCCCCCAACCCGCGAAGGAGCCTTTTTAAAGGCTACGGAATGGGGGGCGGGGAGCGGCGCGGTGCTGAGAGTTGACTGCTCCCCCTACGGAGCGAAGCCGCATGCCATGGACGGAGAGCGCTGACTTCTTCCTTTGAACATTTGGACTAAAAGTAACAACCCGTGAGTAATACGGAAATTGGACTTATTAAAGGGAAAATTTTGTTTCTGGATTTGGCACGATCGGGGAAGGCGCAAAGAGGAAGTCCGACTCCCCGCCTTGTAAACAACTTAAAGCAAGGACCAAATAACTAAGGTTGAGAGAAAATCTTCTTTTTTGGTGGATAAAAGTAATTAATTTCACGTTTTGGCAGTAAAAGTGACTTTGCTGGAGGATAAAAGTTAACTTTGAGAGTGGAAGTGTTACCCCCCCCCCTCAGGACCCGGGAGGGATCCGTGAGAGAGCCTGTTGAAGAGACATAGAAGATTTTGACAGCTGTCAAACTAGCTGTCAAAGCTGGGGAAGAAAGAGAACTTTGTTTCTGCTGTCTTTGCTGGTTAGATTTGTTTCAATTTGGTTACAAATTGTTGAAAATAAAGAAGAACGAGTTAATTTGGCTTTTGGGTTGGAATCAGAAGGAATACTAAGTAACCAGAATCCCTCTAGAGGGGGTTCTGGGACATTACAAGAATGGCTGCAAGTGGAAAGTCACAGATAGGTAGCCGTGTTGGTCTGCCATAGTCAAAACAAAACAAAATTAATTTTAAAAAATTCCTTCCAGTAGCACCTTAAAGACCAACTAAGTTAGTTCTTGGTATGGTCTTTAAGGTGCTACTGGAAGGAATTTTTTTTGTTTTGCAAGTGGAAAAATACTCATTGAGCTGGACAGGACTTTTTTTCTCCTGGGAAAGCTACAAGAACAAAGTGATGTTTTGACTACAAGGGTAACCACACTGAATGAAACAGTAAATAAACTTACTGAATCTGGAAGGGACTTGACTCAAGTCTTTGCAGCTGAACAAAAAGCCCTTGTAGTTGAACCAAAAGTTTTTGCAGCCGAACAGGAAAAGAAATCTGAGAAATCTGAGAAAGTGGAACAAGAGATACATGATGATCTGGAGGGAAAGGAAGGAGGAGCTACAATGCCGCAGAAGATTAAGGAAAGCCAGAGGCCTGTCAGGAAGGACATAAAGGAAAATAATAACTGGATGATGAAAATTTGGTTTGAACTGGAGAATGAAGAATGGAGAGATCTCCTTATGTGGAGATCTGAAGACCTATGGATTACAAATTTGATCAAGATGGAAGTTGGAGCTTTTGGGACATTTAGACTTTAAAAGATTAAGAAACAAGATTTGAGCTCCACTTTTAAATATGGAGGTCTGGCTGGAAGAAAAATGGACATTATCGAGACAGAGCTTCTCCGAGATTTGCTGTTTGATATAAAGGACTATCAAAAAAACCGGCAGAGAGGAACTGAGAGAGAATTAAGAGCCTCGGATGTGAGGTCTCCAGGCTGATAGCAGATAGACTGATGGATATTGGGGATCGAAACCTGGAAAGGGGGGGGAGTTTGGCAATCCAAAGGGTGTATAATTATATTCTAATTTTTTCTTTTTTCTTTTGTTTTTGTTATGAGTATAAAAATGGGGAATTCGTGGAAGGGAATTGGGGTCGACCTTAGGAAAAGATTTTAAGAATGGGAACTGATGTATAAAGACTGATGTTTATAAGTTAAGATTGGTTATATAAAATGAACTAAATATAATAATGAACTAAATACAATAAGGTCAAAAATTGGGGACAAGAACTTGATGAACCAAATAAATGGAATTGGAATACAAGAAGGGGAGGTGTGGGGAAGTCTTGGAAATATGTTATTGAAAATAAGGTTTAAACGTTGAATGTTTTTAATT